GGCCATGGCGCCAACTGGGGGACACATCACCAACTGGGGGACAAGGCACCAACTGGGGGCCATGGCGCCAACTGGGGGACACATCACCAACTGGGGGACATGGCACCAACTGGGGGACTCATCACCAACTGGGGGCCATGGCGCCAACTGGGGGACACATCACCAACTGGGGGACACATCACCAACTGGAGGCCATGGCGCCAACTGGGGGACACATCACCAACTGAGGGACAAGGCACCAACTGGGGGCCATGGCGCCAACTGGGGGCCACATCACCAACTGGGGGCCACATCACCAACTGGGGACACATCACCAACTGGGGGACACATCACCAACTGGGGGACACATCACCAACTGGGGGACATTTAATATTAAATTAGATAAACCTGGAAATAAAAGGAGGAGAACCCCCCCCCTGTGAGGAATGAGAAGGAATTGCACAGTGAAGAGATGGGAGGAGCTAATCACACACCGGCTACAAGAACATGGCCTCCGCTCTGTGGGATCACATGACACTAGAGCATGTGTGACTGCCTACCTGATGCCCTGGCGGCCATGTTGGATACTGGCACTACACTGAGGTCACATGATAGAAGTGGGCGGAGCATTTCTGGGCAGAGTGATGGTAACCAGCAGAGAGGGAAGAAGTTGGGGGTGAGTATGTCTCTCTTGTTCCCTCTCCTGAACAGAGATAATCCCTTCTGCCCTCCCGGCATCCTCCAATCACCCTCCTCTACCCCTCAACTCCTCCCCCGTCTGTCTAATAATATTGGACAATCTTCCATTTCCTGTTTTGTATCCTCTATCTGCAGAGTGCAACAGTGTTACTGGTAAATCTTTCCTTCCCTGGTTGGGGATGTCACCGGGGTCTCCCGTAGAGTAGATCAGGGGTCGCCGGTGCTGAAGTCCTGACTAATGTTGTTGTTGGGGGATTGAGCTAAGTCTAGATGTGTCCCAGAGGCATGCTGGGACCTGTAGTAGTACACAGGAGGAGTACCGGGAGGCATGCTGGGACCTGTAGTAGTACACATGAGGAGTACCGGGAGGCATGCTGGGACTTGTAGTCAGTGAGGGCATCAAAGTTCACCTGAGGTCCTCTGCGGTGTCTGCTCTGTCAGAGGTCTTCCTCGAGCCGTGATTCCGGCCAGGAGTGGACACCTATGTCTTTCAGAGTGGTGTGGGTTCTCCAACTACTAGAAGTCTAATCATGGACATCCATGTGATCCTCCAGAGACAGGAAGTCAGCTATTCATATCCACCTTCAGACATTTACAGACCAGTCAATTCTCACTTTTCTGACCGTCCTCAGATCCTTCAACCCCATAACAGGTCCTTCCACCCCATAACAGATCCTTCAACCCCATAACAGGTCCTTCAACCCCATAACAGGTGTTTCCTACAGATGGATCCAGTAAGAGGAACCCACCAGAGAGATGTCCCCGCCCCCTGTATTCCCGGGACCCCACCCAGGAAGATCTCACCGTCCCTCACCATGATCAGGTAGGTGGGACTGAAGGTATAGAGCACAACCAAGACCCCAAACTTTACAAAGTGATGTATCCTTCTGTAGTTTCAGTTTTCACAGTCTATAATTATCAGATCCTTCAACCCCATAACAGGTCCTTCCACCCCATAACAGATCCTTCAACCCCATAACAGGTCCTTCCACCCCATAACAGATCCTTCAACCCCATAACAGGTCCTTCAACCCCATAACAGGTGTTTCCTACAGATGGATCCAGTAAGAGGAACCCACCAGAGAGATGTCCCCGCCCCCTGTATTCCCGGGACCCCACCCAGGAAGATCTCACCGTCCCTCACCATGATCAGGTAGGTGGGACTGAAGGTATAGAGCACAACCAAGACCCCAAACTTTACAAAGTGATGTATCCTTCTGTAGTTTCAGTTTTCACAGTCTATAATTTCCTGGGTTTAGAGCGAAGACTTGATTCATATGAAGATTGAGGTAAAAACGGAAGAAAAGACTTACGTGAGGGGTACCCAGCCGTCTACAGAGGAGGTTGGGATGATGGTCACAGTGAAAGAGGAAGATTCTTCTCTAGATATCAGCTCAGGTGAGTAATAAACAAACACTGAATGTGTAACTTCATGTCCCCAACATATGAGGAGGAGATACTGTACACCATATGAAGGTCCATCTCCATTCCTCAATATAACGTCATGTGACCAACAAATGAGGAGGAGATACTGTACACCATATGAAGGTCCATCTCCATTCCTCAATATAACGTCATGTGACCAACAAATGAGGAGGAGATACTGTACACCATATGAAGGTCCATCTCCATTCCCCAATATAACGTCATGTGACCAACATACATGGACATTCATGAAATGTTTCTTTCCGACAGATGGACGCGATGTCCAGAACGACTCGAAGTGTCACCTGACTTCACCTCCGGCCTGTACTGCAGAAGATAATGACATCACACAAGGTCCTCCAGGAGAAAATCCTGTTATTGGAAATACACATCACAGACGTATCCGTGAAAATGGATCAATGGAGAGCAAACAACGTTCTTCCGGAAAGCCACTTCCTGTTAGGTGTTCCGGCGAGAAGACCTTTCCGTGTCCCGAGTGCGATAAATGTTTTAGCGTTAAGGGCAGGCTTGCGAGACATCTCATGGTGCACACCGGAGAGCGGCCCTATTTCTGCTCAGAGTGCGGGAAATCTTATGCAAGGAAATTGGATCTTCTCACACATGTAAAACTTCACACCGGCGAGCGACCTTTTGTGTGTACACTGTGCGGGAAAGGTTTTATAGAGAAAAAGCGACTTACCGAACACGAGCGGGTGCACACCGGCGCGAGGCCTTTCTTGTGTACCGTGTGCGGGAAGAGTTTTGGGGAGAAAAAGCGGCTTATTGATCACGAGCGACTGCACACTGGTAAGAGACCTTATTCCTGTTCTGTGTGCGGGAAAGGTTTTGGAGAGAAAAGGCGGCTCATCGAACACGAGCGACTGCACACCGGTGAGAAACCTTTTCCCTGTACGGTCTGCGGGGAGAGTTTTCGAGGGAAAAAGTTTCTGATCGAACACGAGAGGCTGCACACGGGTGAACTGCCTTTTAAGTGTTCCGAATGTGGGAAGGAATTTAGAACCAGAGGGGTTCTAAACCTACACCGGCAATCCCACGCGAGAGGGCAGCCATTTTCCTGCGCGCAGTGCGGAAAACGTTTCAAGTATAGCATCAGCCTTAGCCGACACAAGAAACTTCATGACCAGGATGGTTCATTGTCTTGTTCAGTGTGCAAGAAATCTTTTACAACTAAACATGAGCTTTATGTGCATGTAAGAGGTCACACGGAAAAGAAGATCTTTCCGTGCGCCGAGTGCGGGAAATGCTTTTTATGGAATGCGGACCTTGTTAAACACCACAGAGTCCACACCGGGGAGAAGCCCTTCCCTTGTTCCGAATGTGACAAACGTTTCTCAGTGAAAAAAACCCTTGAGGACCATATGAAGGTCCACACCGGCGAGAAACCGTTTTCCTGTTCGGAGTGTGGGAAAAGTTTCTCTCAGAGAGGACACCTCAGACAACATATGAAACGCCACACTGGCGAGAAGCCATTTTCCTGTTCTCAGTGTGGTAAATGTTATTCACAGAAGGGAAGCCTCGACTACCATATGAAATGCCACAACGGCGAGAAGCCCTTTTCCTGTACAAGGTGCGGGAAAGGTTTTATAAGACAGCAACAACTTCTCAAACACCAGAAAAAATACGCTCCAGGTGAGGGTCCATCTTTATCTTCAGAGACCGGAAAGTCACCCAAGTCAAAATCTGAAAAAGGTTGCACAGTAGAAAGGAGGTATTCATGCTCCGAGTGTGGGAAATCCTATAGACGGAAAGGGGAGCTGGTTACCCACCAGAGAGTTCACACCGGTGAGAAGCCCTTTTCTTGCTCTGAGTGCGGAAAGTGTTTCTCGATCAAACGCAGCTTCGATGACCACGTGAAACTCCACAGCAACGTCAAGCCGTTTACCTGCGAAGTGTGCGGGAAAGGTTACGTCAAGAACAGGCACCTCCTTTCGCACCTGAGAACTCACACAGGCGAGCGTCCCTTTTCCTGCTCACAGTGCGGGAAGGGTTTCGGCTGGAAAGACAATTTGGCTAGACATCAGAAGACTCACGGTGACTGATGGCACAGAGACAGAAGTGATGAGAGGTTTTTTAGGTTCTGCAGATGATGGTGGTGGGCTTACTCTCATCATCTATTTTAACCATTTTGATATCTTTTATAGTTCTCACTGTTCCTGTCAAACATTTTCCACACTAATAAAATTGCCGCAGACAGTAATTGCTGCACATACCTTTCATCACTGGGCGGAGTCTGTTGGGTCTGACCCCGATTTGGATGGCTTGTTTTGTGGAATGTGTTTTATAAATATATCCCCCCTGGGTCTTTCTGTATCTCAGTGCTGCTGATCTTCTCCATCCCTTTCCAGACACTTCCTGCCTAGTGAGTGGGCCTACTCACTGTGTACACTGCACACATAAGAAAATCTGTGAAGGTGTCAGGAGTGTGTAGTGTACAGAGCGCAGGGGTTAAAAGTATGTAGTGTGCCGAGGTCAGGAGTGTCCAAAGGTTCCTCGGACTAACCTCCCATCTGATGGCGCCTGAGTAGTAAATCTTTAATGAACCTGGAAAAACAGGACAGTAGTTTGTTTTTTTCTGCAACATGTTCTATACTCCTGACCTCTGCACACTACATACTCCTGACCTCTGCACACTACATACTCCTGACCTCTGCACACTACATACTCCTGACCTCTGCACACTACATACCCCTGACCTGCACACTACATACCCCTGACCTCTGCACACTACATACCCCTGACCTCTGCACACTACATACTCCTGACCTCTGCACACTACATAGTCCTGACCTCTACACACTACATACCCCTGACCTCTGCACACTACATACTCCTGACCTCTACACACTACATACTCCTGACCTCTGCACACTACATACTCCTGACCTCTGCACACTACATAGTCCTGACCTCTGCACACTACCTAGTCCTGACCTCTGCACACTACCTACTCCTGACCTCTGCACACTACATACTCCTGACCTCAGCACACTACATAGTCCTGACCTC